GGCTCGATTGTACGTTTTATCTCCGGGGAAAATAGCAGCTCTCTATGTGCTACCCCGCTGCGGGATCGGTTTGTATACACGCACACAGGGCGGGGCGACCGTAGGCTCCCCAGCATAATCCAGAAGCCAGTCCTTAGTAAATAAATAATAAGCCAGGAACCAGCTGTGTGTCTGGCGCACTCACGGCTGTCAGTCTGCTGGTGCCCACCCCATAGCGCCATCCACCGGCCTTCGATGAGTGGACACGGCGTCCCCAGGGGCCAGGTGGAGAGACCCACAGGGAGGCCGTCTGTCTGGGCTGCGGGGCTGGGCTGGGTGTGACGTGGCTGTCGTGTGTGAGGGAGCCAGGCCCCCGGGGAAGGCCGGCGCTGATCGCTCTCCCGATGCCGGGGTCCGAGGGCCGGGCACCCGCCATCTGGAGCCGGGGAGGAATGACCGCGAGGGTCACCCTGGGGGTCACGCCGCCCTCCAGGCCGCGAGCATCTTCCCCGAAGGGAGAAAGGTTTGGATTTCACCGTAATCCGACCCAGAGATGAAACTGCTGCGCAGGCTGGGCCTCTGGAGCCGGAGCTGGCACAGGCGGCAGCGTCCCCCGTCCCCCAGGAGGAGGGCCTGGCGAGTCCGGGGTGCGGGGGGCGAACCCTGCGGGCCAGGGGGGTGTGATCTGCGGGGAGGGTCCGTCCCCGTGGCCCCCGACCCCCACCCCCTCCGGCTTCGGCCACATGGGGACGCGCTGGAGGATGCCCCGGGAAGGCCGTTAAGCAGTGATGACCAGGTCAGTAGCATCCTGGAGTTGACTTGGGTGTGTTCTGCAGTGAGCTGTGCGTTGATAGATGCGTTTTTATTTTATTTTGTTGTTGTTATTATTTTCGTTCGTCCTCACCCAAGGATATTTTCCCATTGATTTTTAGAGGGAGTGGAAGGGAGAGGGAGAGACAGAGAGAAACACATCCATGGGTTGTCTCCCCCACAAGCCCTGACCAGGGCCCGGTCCCGGGAGGAGCCTGCAGCCGAGTGAGGTACATGCCCTTGACCGGAATTAAACCAGGGACCCTTTGGTCTGCAGGCCGGCGTTCTATCCACTGAGCCAAACCAGCCAGGACGATAGAGATATTTTCACTTTCTGCTGCCCTGTGCATGGCGATGACTGATTTTTTTAAATGTTATGGGTGTGCAAATAAGATCTGAGTGTCTTTTA